TGAGGCCTATTGGCATGTTCTCCTGGTAACGAATCCCTTCTTTTCACGGGGAACCCATCCCTTGTGATTGTGGTGGGTTCTGTCCCATCTCCTGGGATGCAGAAACTCTGGCCAAAGAGATACTACATACGGTCCACCTCTTGCTTCTGGCCATGCTGGTTCAGGCAGGTGATCCAAACTGGGCCAAGTAATAGTACCTCCCTGGTACTACTGTTGGAACTGTGGCAACCGACACACAGCTGTGGGAGTGGAAACTAGCACTCATGGCCACCTTTGCCACCACTCTGGGGCAGGGAGCCTGTGCATGCAGCCTGTGAATTAAGCAAAGCCAGTGGTAATGGCCTGGTATATTTTCTTAACTCCTAGATATAGCTGTGCCTGAACTCTGCCCTACCATGGAGTTTAGTCATGTAAGTCAACCCACTTGTTTAAGTTGGATTTCTTTTATTTGTAACCAAAATAATTCTAACTAGTCAGATCTAAAGAAAAAAAAAAAACCCAAAGGAAATTCCCCCTTCATGGGAAATCCATATGGAATTCTGCAGTCCTGAAAATGATCCTAACGAAATTAAAAGAGTTTCTTTCTGGCATTCCTGCAAAAATGTCTAAGCGTAACAGTGTCCCCATATGACCCTTTGCACCGGCAGTTCTCTTACCAGTGCTGCCACCAATGGGACACATCTTGTAAACACTGAAGTTCCTGACTGGGAGAAGAAAGGCACAGCAGCCCAGTTTATGGTTTGCTACCGTCAAGTACTTGGAGCTGTCAAACTGCACAAGCATAGTGGACGCTGCAGGATAATAAGGACTTAGAGCCACAGGGCTCAGAACAGAAGGGACGCACATAGCATGGGGAGGACCACAGAGAGTCAGTGTCACACCTGTGCACAGAGCAGCTAGCCCCAGGCCAGTCCCAGCTCAGGACAGAGAGAAACAGAATCCACACAGTACTGCCATGAAGTTGGCTTCTGTTTTTTTAGAACAGGGATGGTGAGAAGATTCCACCGCAGGTGCCAGATCTGGTCCATGGCTGAGATGCCAAGCTCGGCATCAGGACAGCCTGGGAAATCCATCACGATGCAGGGCAGAGGAGAATACGAACATAGGTCTTTGTTATTCTACTTGAAACCATCAAATTTTACCCTTGACTTAAGGCCAACAGAAATGCACATTTGGACTGGAAAGGCCACTCCCGGCTGCATCCCACGTTTCCTCTCCGCCTGCCTGAGGGCGCCCTCCTGTTCTACCCAAGGCAGGGAGTTGTTCACCACCCCATGCGGCGTCCTCTTAAGACCACTCTGGAGGAATTTCTTAGGGCTTGGCCACGATTAGCCTTGCATCTGAGTAACTGGCATGCTTCCGGCCACCGTGAGTTATTAACAGAATGTACTTTCCTTCTGGTACTGACTGCTCAGCTAGGAGGCACAACTGTGGACCTGCTAGCAAGCAGGCTCTCCCCCACGCACCACAGCCGACCGCATCTGACTTCACCCTGCTTTTCTCTCCCCACAAATTTCTCCTCCCTTATTTTTCTGAATCTCGTATGTACAATTAGCCGCTTAGAAAATCTCTGAAGGACAGGCCATGTACTAGATCAACAGCGCCAAATAATGTAGAAGAAATGGCTGGTAAGTAGAGGACAATTTCACTAACACTTGCTGTGGCAGCCAGAGGTAGTGCCTGGAGACCAGAACAGGCTTGGACCAGACTCAACTCAGCACGCCTCTCATCCCCCACCCTCTTCACCTCCTGCCCCATCCTTCCTGAGGCATCTGGGTGCCCTCTGGTCCCCCCACCCTGTTCACCTCCCGCCCCATCCTTCCTGAGGCATCTGGGTGCCC